TAATTGTATAGTTGCTTTGCTATACATTGGCTTATCTTTTCCTTATTATATAATAATTATATAATCGTTTTTAAGTCAGAGAAAAAAAATTGACAAGCAAAAAAAAAAGAAAAAAAAGGGAAAAGTTGCCCAAAGTCGGAAAAGTTGCCCAAAGTCGAAAATCCTATTTCGTTGGGGGGGGGGGGGGGGGGGTGTTGGTAAACTTTTTCTCAGTGTCAACTACTTTTAGTACCAATTCTTATACTACATTTTCGGTACATTTCTTAGCTTTCAATTAACATTTCCTAAGTGTAATGTTCTGCCCCTGTCTGTTATGGGCTCTAAATTAGAAATAAAATGTTCTGTTCTGTTCTATTATACCAACCTTCAAGTTGCATACATGGATTTTTTTTTTTCACATAGTAAAACAATTCAGAATTGACTTATCGTGCTGTTCTATATCTATTTATTAAAAGGACAGGTTATTTTCATTGCCCTTTTATACAACTTCATTGTGGTTACACTATCCAATGATATTGGTTCCCGTAGTGATTCTAAAAAAGAATTCGTATTATTAGTTGCATGAATTAAAAATCCCATTATCTAAAACAAATCTTGTAAAAGAAACATTTCTCCTTCCAGTCAAAGTTATCGTTGGTATTATGCAAGTCAACTTAACCTTGCTTGTGATGGCTGGCATTTATACTCACAATTTCTCACATATGAAGTTGCTTTTGACGCTGCAGGGTGCATCATTCCACTGGAAATTGAACGGATGAAACAACTCGGCACAGTCCTCTGTATGCCCCTGGTCGTTAGGCTCACCCGCTCCCCAGTCTGTGAAATCCACGTTATCTTGAGTTGTATGCCAGATATATTTCCCCTCCTGTATAGTATCAGACAAACCAATCCAATAGTTCGCTGTAAAGGAAATAAAAGAAAAAAAGTATATCATAAAATGAGAATTTTCCTCCTCTATGGCACCTGATTCCACCTCTAATTTTTTAGAGGTCCGTGTTTACACTGCTCTTGATGTGTATTGTTTGAATTGACTTGTGAGCTTGAATATTGTTTATCTCAATATTTCCTTGAAAGAGTGCTTCTAAATTCAATTTTCATCGAAAGACGACTAAACAGTGTTAATAAGGGATGCAACTATCCTCACATGCTGTTATAAATTAAAACTGTCTGACATGAATTTTATATATCATGAACTGTCACTGCAATGTTTCATTGGTCAAGAATTAGCAATTACCTGTCGCTCCTATGTCCAACAGGTGCTTTTTCAAGAAGTTGTTTTCTGTTTCACTCTCTATTTCCACCAGGTGAGCACCAACTGTACTACAATAAAACTATTAAAGAAATAATTAAAGAAAGTTGTGCTCTTTATATTATTTTTTCTCATACTTAGAAGATATTTATTTTATTCTAGTGATATAATAAAAATACATTTTTATAGTGAACTGAATTAGGTAGACCATTCATTTGCTGTCAATTTCCCAGACGCAAGGTATCGAGATGTACAACCCTCTTATACTAGTACAGTGTCTTGTACAAACTTGTATAGATCTTTATAAAAAGAGGTCCTTGATGCAACCACCGACATTTTTTTTTTGCTTTAAAGGGTTTTGGATAAATTAAAAATACAAAGGCCAGCGAATTTAATTCAACTTCCCACTACACAGTTAAAAATAACATCATATCGTACACGTATTCAAATTAATGTGGCTGAAGTTACAATAGCATTCACAATTGCATAAAAAGTACCAGAATTATTTTATTGTAGAGCTTCATGTAAAAAGAAAATAAGACCATATTCTAAACGAATATCTGAAATACATAATCAGACAAAATTATCAAACGATTAGATGGAAACCTTAATTGAGTTTCTTCTTTTGTTTATGCGAAAATAAAATTGGCTTTTTTTCAATTTGCTTTTTAAAAATCATTGTCTAAATTCTGGTTGGAAAAGTTTTTACATGATAGAAAAATGGTGCAATGAATTATCAAAAAATATATACTATTATACAGGTAATATAAAGTGTATATAATATACATATATTTGTCAATTCATTCAATTCAATTTTCAAATCTCTGCGAAAAAGGTTTGGTAATGCAATATTCTTTTAAAAATACAAGATTTTAAAGTGATCCTAATTTTACTTTTTTTATTGCACTCCTGACATCTGGCATTTTTAAAAAAATTAATCGTTGTTTGATAAAATTTAACACACAATAATACATTTAAATTTTATAAAGAAATTTTAGATAGATCATTATTTGCTATTTTTAAAATTTTTTATTATGTTTATGTCAAAATAAATGGCGATTAATTACTAGTAGTAATTTAAATAAGAAATACATGTGTTATGCTCCAACGGCCCTAAGGGGCCTAAAATAAAAATTTATTTGGTCACATCTTTCGTACATAGGATAAGTGAATGACGTCCTTAATCATATGTATGTATGTATATGCTGATTAGACTTATGCAGGCTGGTAGGAATCCGGTAAGGGCAAGACTTATCAAGTTTTTTCTCGGCTAAACTGACCTCCAATTATAATTTCTTAACACGGTCGTAATATTAGTACTTTACCATGGCTTCGATCCAACCATCAGGTTCCGAGTCTATGAATGCGTAACACGAGCCTCCATGAACGATCCAACCACTAGGACAAGACTGACTGTCCACTGACAGAACTACGAAAGACGGAGAATAAGTTAATAGTGTATTAATATTGATAAGATTTATTTCAGCAACTTTTTAGCAGCAACATAATTAGAATCCACCGGTACCATCAAAACAATTAGTATAAAATAATACTCTATTTTACCAGGTATTAATTTTCAATCTGAAGCTGAAAATGATAACATGTCGAATTTGTCATGTAATCATTTTCAACTTTAGATTCAAAGTCACCATTTCATAAGCTTTATGGTTGATACAATGACGTACCTTGTCAGCAGATACAATTTATCCAGTGTTGACTACATTTTCCATATTACCTGTAATTGTTAGACCATCATTTACACACAGAACTGAGGACAGATTCTCGAGGACCGTTATTTCCCGATCATGACATCGAGCACACGGCAGGAGATGCTCACTCTTCGATTTCACCTATTCCAACCTCTTGTTTTGGAGGTGCTTGTTTGCTCTGCTCAAAATTTGTACTGTTTAATGGATTTTTGAGCTTGAATACAGTGTTCGTTATCTCCATATATTTTATTGAAAATTAATTGAAACAAAGTACCATAAAACCGTAATATCCAGAAAAATAGATATTATATAAAAAGGTAAAGTTTAGATCGATAGGAGTCGGCAAGATTCCGCTTCCCCCATTGAGCATGCCTATTTCCCTCGGCATCTCCTCGGGAAATAGACATGCTTCCGGGGAACTGGATACTGGTACGCCAAGGACAATGAGCTTTGGGCTTGCGTAGGGGAACGTAAGGATTTAGTTCACTCCCTCAATGATATATGTTCATTGTAAGCAGGTACCATGGCATCAATAAGTATTGAAAAGTATTATCATCAAAACTGTATCGGCAGCAGAGTAAGTTTACAAGTAGCTATAAAAATTACTCAACCACTCTTATTTACCATATAACGTTTAACACTGTAGAAAAAGTAAGTATGAAATAATTTTCATCCAAAACAGAAGAATGTTGAAAGCCTTAAAGTGCGCTTTCAGTATTATACATGAACTTTTTATAGAATATAAAGGAGAATATTTGAAAGCGGAGCAATGAATCTTACCGATAGAGGTAAAAATAAAGAAGAATATATACCCTCTCATGATTATATATAAGATAACGTGCACGAATACCGAAGACACAATTAACATAAAAGAATGCAAGCTGATAAGAAGATAAGTTCTGACGTATCGAATATTCCACAGTTATATGATAGCTTGAAAAGGAAACAATGAATAAAGGATATTTACATGTACATGTATATTCTAATTCTTGCAATATTATGATTATGATAATTTAATGGTTATGACACTCATCCTTGGATTTCCAAGGACGAAAGTCATAACCATTAAATTGCCGAGGTTCTTTCATTTTAGCTGCAGAAATGTAGCTCTCCGGAAAAATATATTGACAGACCGGATAGCTCTCAGTCTTTCAATATGTTTTTTTTTTTCGGAGAGCTACAGTTCCGCAGCTTCTTTCATTTTTGCCCTTCAAAATAACAGATTGTACAATCATGCATACATTCATTTACCATAACTATCTCAATTAAACGAGATCTTTTTTTTAACCAATTTCTCATTTTAAATTATCAAAAGCACCTTTAATGGAACATTTGAATCAATACAATTCTTTTGGGACTATAAACAGTTAATACTAAGAAAAATATCGTTAAAAGTATCACAGCTGTCCTGAACAATATTGGCATTTCTACAACCTAAAGATGTACCGGTTTCAGCATTTATCAAGATGTGTCAAGATTTTGAAGACCACTCAACTGTGACAACCGTTTAAAAATTCTGACAACGACAAAACAATATTTAGTTATGGAAATTATGAAGTTTTCCTCACATTAATACACAAATTGTTCCATAATATGAATTACAAACACTCATTTTATGAATAAGAAATGAAATGCTTTCTCTCTTTTCTTGTCCTAAATCATCTTAATAATCATTAAGATTAAAACAAGTTTATTCAGTGAGAAAAAACAAAGTTACATCTACGGTGTTGAATAAAACAAATTTATTCCAGAAAAACTAAATTTTATTGTTTTCAATTCAGGGCTCATCCTATAATGTTTGGATTAGAAGCAGTTCTGAAAAAAAAAATCAAAAGGAAAGGAATGAAATTTGAAATTATACATGAAAACATGCATTCAACGTTTCATCTTACGATCCCAAAGGCTTGAGGATGGCATTAAAGATGTTTTAACATGTTCAGAAATGCAATATTTCAGGTAGAATCATTACATTAATTCTTTTACTATTAGTTTTACTTAGTATCCATATAAAGACATTTCCAAATTCTTGGACAAGTCATCAAATCAAATTACTGATGCGTTTTGTAATGAAAATAACAAAAAAATGCCCAATAGTCCCAACATTAAAGTCAATACTTTAAATGGAAAGGCGTATCCAGTGAAAGAAAACTAATGTATGCTTGATTCTAAGCTTGATATTCAATTTCACACGCGACATGTATGCAACTCACACTTTTTCACAGATGAAATCGTTTTTAGTGGAGCAGGGTGAATCGTTCCACTGGTAGTGGTAGGGGAAGTAGAGGCTGGCACAATCTTCTGTTACCATATGGACATGATGGAAATCGTTTGGTTCATTTGGAGCCCAGTCTACAAAATCTACGTCATCTTGGGTCGTCTGCCACAAAAACTTCCCTTCTACCAACGCATCCGTCAGACCTATCCAGTAGGTACCTTCATAATGGGAAACAAAAAAGAATTTTGGAGATAATAATTAATTTGCACTGCATTTGCCAAGTCAAATCAAAGCAAAATGGTAGGCCACACAACCAATGGTGACGCTTACATTATGGATTTCACAATTTTTGCAGTATCGCACCGATAAAAACGTTAAATTTAGAATACTTACCATTAGTTTTAGCAGAAAACAAATGGTTTTTCAGGAAGCTGTTTTCAGATGCACTCTCTATTTCAACTAATTTTGCATGAAGGGTACTGCAATAAAACTAATAGAAGAAGATTATTTATATAACGATTGAATCAATGCATATTTTTTATAATCTTTTCAGGTATTGGCAAACCTATATAAGGAAAAATAACAAATTTTACAAACTATTTTCAGATTTCTTACCAATTATAGGGATCAAACTTTATTTTTTTTATATCGGGTATTTATGCTATATTTAACAGAACTGCACTCATCTATGATATTTTTCTATTCATAAGTAGAACAATGTATTCAGAAACATTTTGAAGACGTTTTTAGGATAGGACTCACATACTCGTATACAAGTGAATCTGAAATATCTCTTCTGTCTTACTTGATTATCTGAAGTTATTTTTTAAAATACATTGTATTTATTTCTCAGATTATTAATTTTAAAATGTCTAGTATTTATCTAGGTAACACTTACCATTGCCTCTGTCCAGCCTAGTGGTTCGGCATCAATGAAAGCATAACAAGATGTCGCATGATGGTACCATCCTCCTGGGCAGGACTGGCTAGTGATGGCTGATACTACAGGGGTGTAAAACAAAATAGTAATATCATCTCATGGAGCAGGCCGGATCAGTGATGACTATTACAACATAGGTGTAAAACAGAACAGCAATGTCATCTCAATGGACAAGAAAGATAAGTAATGACTGTAATTACAGGGGTGAAAAACAAAACAGCAATATCATCTCATGGAGCAGGACTCGTGAGTGATGACTGATACTACAGGGGTGTAAAACAATTCAGTAATATCCTCTCATGGACAAGATACTAGATAAGTAATGACTGTAATTACAGGGGTGAAAAATAAAGCAGCAATATCATCTCATGAGGCAGACTTGTGAATGATGACTGTTACTACAGTGGTGTAAAACAAAATAGCAATATCAACTCATGGAGCAGACTCATGAGTGATGATTGTTACTGCAGGGGTGTAAAACAAAACAGCAATATCATCTCATGGGACAGGACTGATACTAGTAAGTAATGACGGTAACTTCAGGGGTGTAAAATAAAGCATCAATATCATCTCATGGAGTAGGATTGATGAATGAAGACTGTAACTACAGGGGGTGTAAAACAAAATAACAATATCATCTCATGAGGCAGGTCTTATAAGTGATAGCTATATTTAAACAGGAGTTCAATACAATAGAACAGCAATATATAATTTCATGGAGCATGATTGGCAAGTGCAACTACATGGGTGCAAAATAGAATAGCAGTATCACCTGATGGGACAAGACTGGTTAGTAATGCCTGTCAGTACAAGGGAGTAATACAGAACAGCAATGTGATATTCTGGGGCAGGACTGATAGAAGAGATGGCTGTAACTCCAGATGATTAAAAAATAACGGAATATATAATCATACACACCATATTCCACTTATCTGTTCAATGGAAATGTACATAGTTACTAAGTATCCTTAATCAGGATTCCTTACCTTTTTACGTCTCGCTAGAAATAAAGTTGACAATTCAATTTCAATATTGAAAAGATGCAAATATTAGTAACTATTATAAAAGTTAACAAGAAAACCCTTTTTACCCATGGACGACAAAAGTACAAATCTGTAGAAGGATCCCATGTTGACTGTCAAGATAAGCCAGGACTATGTCAGAGTGCTATTTCTTCACATTTATCTACTAGTACATGTATTTTGATTAAGAACAACCACAATTTCAATTTTATATAAAATGTTTTGAAGCAAGTATAGGTAATAACAAAAATAAACTATAGTTGTAATGTGATGTTACATTATTCTTTAATATATTTTTTTATTTAAGTGTACCGGTAATCAATTTACTAGTAATTTAAGCATTTGAAATATCCTTCATTTTAGAAAAAGTTCATGAAAGATATACCGGTCCTGTCTTAATTCTTAATTAAGAGGTAGGTAAGTTGCATGTTTCAAGATTTCATCAATTTAGAATGTCTTATTGGTTATTATCTCTCGGATGAAAGGTATTAATGTCATGACAATTTGAACAAAATTTTATGATGATGCTAAATTGGTCTTTATATATATGGAAAATGTGCAAAAGCACTTTTGTCTGTTTTGGCTTTATCCTACCCCGGGGTCTTGATTAGAACAAATGTATCTAAACCTAATGAAGCTTAAACAAAAAATAATATTTCTTACACAGTAGTTATCGAAGAGAAGGCTTTTAAAGGATGTCTTTAAATTTTAACTAATTTCATTTTTTTTTCTTTTCAAAGAGGGTGTGGCACTTCCTTTAAATACCGTACTTTAAAATCACCTTCATTCAAAGAGGATTTGTGGAAAGGAAAGGTTAGTTCAAAATGGCGTAATGCGAAGTCCATCCGGTTATTAAGAATTTTATAATTATCTGATTCATGATTTTAAAGAATTTCTTTCTTAGAGAAGCGTCTCCTGTATGGCGCAGTGGTTAGAGTGTCTGCCCTAGAGTTGCCAAGTAAGGAGTCGATCATTATGCGTCGCGGGTTCGAATCCCACAATGACGTGGAGACCGATCATTAGAATGAGACCGTATAAACTGAGGTACCGTGTCGAAGTAGATGC